CTCCAGAGGATCTTCCCAATCCAGGGACTGAAACGGCATCTTCTGCATTGCAGATGGATTCTTAACCCACTGAGCCACTTGGAGAACCCTTATTTGCCTATACTTTTCCCAAATAGAACGACTTAACTCTTGTCCAGAGGTATCCTCTCCTATCTCCATGCCTTATTTGTTGTATCGATCCCATTGCTTAGTGGGCTTTTCCTCCTGCTTCCATCATCACAAATCCCATGTGAAGTCTTCTTGGATCCTTTCATTTAAGAGCTCTTTCCTCCCTCTGATTTTCCAATATCATTTTAGCAGAGTCCTCTTTTGTCCTTTCACTCTTTAATGAACTCCCAAGACTGAGCTCAGTGCTGTGGAAGGCAGAAAGATGAGCATTATCTGAACAAGAAAGATAATCTTGGCGGAAGGTTAAAGGCAGAGGTTTAAAGTAGAGAAAATAGGCAGTGCAAAGGCCCTACGGTAGCATGAGCTTGGAGGAAGAGAAAAAAAAGACCGGAGTGGGCAGAGCAAAATGTGCATAGAGAGAAATATGAGATGAATGAGAGGAGGCGAGCCAGGAAAAGGAACATGAGTTTTTATTCTAAATGTGAAGGGATGCCTTTGGGGGATGGGAAGGTTGGGTTTAAATAGAGGAGGAATGACTTGAATTCTTTACTTTGTGGATACTGCCCTGTGAGGTGGCAAAGCTGGAGACAATGTGATATGAGGTGGCAATAGTCCAGGTGAGAAGTTTTTTTCTTTTTTTTTAAAGGCTATATAGTGCTTTTTTTGCAGTGTCTTTGCTGTAAACGACACATTTTAATGCATAACATCTTCATTATCTTTTGGTCCCAAATACTCTGACATCCATTAGGGATTATTCTTTGACCCACAGGTAATTTAGAAGTGTGTTTTAACAATTACCGATTAAGTTTTTAAATTGTGCTATGACCAGATGATATACTTTGTATGACATTGACACTTTGAAATATGACCTGTTTTACAAACTTTGAGAGTTTCCCCCACTGTTCCATCTGTGCTTGAAGTACATACTGTTTTCAGATACTGTCCTGTGTGTCCATCAGATCAAGCTTATAACTACTTTCATCCTAACCTTCCACAGCCATCTGATTTTTATCTGTTTGTGTACCGATTCCTAAAAGAGATGTTAAAAATCTCCCACTTTGGTTTGTGACTTGATTTCCCCTTGTAATTGTGTCAGTTTCTGCTAGACAGACCTGGTGCACAGATTTCCACCTTCCAGGTGATTTGAACCCCTTTTCATCATGTGGTGATATTCCTTCTCTTTAGCAGTGCCCTTTATCTTAAAATTGACTTCATCTTCTAATACAGCCAACACCAGCTTCCTTTTGGTTACCATCTGTTTCTTAACTGGAATTTAGTCAAAAGAATTTTATTAACAGGTTTAAAAAAATAATTTACATACCATAAACTTCACCTGGCTGCCTGTGAGCTGGGACTTAACTCTGCCTCTGTGTATCCTCCATTCACCTGGCTGAGTCGGAGGTTTTTCTCTCCCACCTCCTTCTAGATTGACACTGTCCATCCCACTCCATATTTCTTCCTCCTAGTTAGACTGTTTCTATCTTCTGTGGTTATTTTAGGATTTTAAATGTGCATGCTTATCTTAAATTCTAATCTTTACTCATCTTGCAAATAAACTTAGAATAATTCAATTCCAGGCAACCTGAGGATGGCCCCGCTTTCTCCCAGTTACCGGAGACCAACAATTCCACCTTTGGTTCTGGCTTCAGGTGCTGGTTTTTGTCCTTTTCAAGTGAGTTTGGGGCTGACACAGCAGTCCCAAAGGCCATTCCCTTCCTGCTCCTGTGAACTCGGGAGATAACGAGGGGGTCAGTGAAGCCCGCCCCTCCCTACCTGGCGCCCACCGCCTCCTTACCGCTCCCTCGTCCCCCAGCCTGCAACTTTCAGGGAGCGTTCCGGCCTCAAGAGAGGAGGCTGGAGTCTAGGTGTGGATCAACCCTTCCCCAGATCTGAAGGCTCTTCTGCCCACGCGGCCTGAGCCCTGGACAAGTCGGTGAGCGGAGTGTGACAGCGTCCGCTCTCCACCCAGAGCCAGAGCCTGCCTTGGGTCTAGCATCGGGGCCCTCAGGCCAGGCCGGTCTCCAGAACCAGGGTGCAGGATGCGGCCCTTCTCCAGGCACCCCTCGGCCTTGGCCGCCGCCTTCTTGCGCAGGTTCTGCCGCCATCCGTCCTGCAGCAGCATCTTCCCCACCACGTGGGCCGCGGGCCCTGCGCTTCTCCCACGTGCACCCGCTCTGCCCCTGCGCTTCTTTTGGTACTTCAGGGCCTCCGGCTGCAGGTGCTGGCTGTCAAGGGTCTTCATGCCCTTGGCCTTGAACAGCAGGTTCGTCCCTGCATCTTGGCCTGAAGCTCCTGGCCCTGGGCTGCATCCCCGTCCGGCAGCTGTTCCAGCCCATCAGCCCCTTCACCTTCTGCCTCCTCTCCTTCCTGCGCTGCGCCTTGCAGGCCTGCTCCTCTTATTGACTCCTCTCTACCTTAGTGAAGAGCCGCCCAGCTGGCCCGGCACCTCAGGGGGCCCCTTGGAGACCTTGGCGGCTTTCTCCTTCATCCCCGGCTCCCTCCGGATCCTCTACTTCCGGTCCCGCTCCTTCCTCAGCTACCTCCAGCATCTTTTCTCCGAAGAGGTGGGAAACAGCTTCCTGGCGTTGCCCTGGCTGCGTGCCTCCCCTATGTTCTCCTGCAGGCGCTGTCGCAGGACGTCCACGGCAAATGAAGAGTCGGGCCCTGGGGCCAGGCCATCCGCAGGGGCCACAACGGAGCTGAAGGCCGCCGCCTCCTTTTTCACTGCCACTGACTTCCTGCCCTGAGGCTTCTCCACAGGGACCCGCTCCTGGAATTTCTAATGTGCTTTCTTCCCCTTCTGTTTTGGGGGCCCAGCAGGTTCTGAAACTTGAGTTTTGCCCGCCGAGTTGTGCGTCTGGGACTCGGGACTGGGCAGGGAGCAGATCTTGTCCAGGCTCTGCAGCTAGGCTTCCTTGGCGAACCAAGTAAGCCCTGGCTGGAGGCTCGGGGTCCTACTGGGGGAAGGAGGGCCGGGGTGCAGCGTCCTGGGCTGGTACTAGCAGTCTGCAACACACGCAGGGCCCCCCAAGCCCCCAGTCTGTGCTACCTTCATCTGCCGAGCTGCACTTGCCAGAAACCCCCCACGTGAGAACTGATGGTGGCTTGAATTAGGGTGGAAGTGGCTTGATCACCTGGATGACTGTTGGTGCTGTTCTTGAGGATGGAAGAGATTAGGAGAGGTGTAAGTTTGGAGGGATGTTGCAGAGAAATTCTGTCAAGTGGAACAAGAAGGTCTGGATGGACAATAAAGGATTAATCTTTCCCCCAAAGAGGTTTGGCCTTTGCCCTTGGCTCCTGGGAGGTAACCTCTAAGACCTCGGAAAATCTTGCCTTGATTTGTTTAACCTGGGGACCTTTGGCCAAGCCAGATAGCCTATGCTAGCAGTGTGGTTTCTAGGACGGGTCCTTGGGTCATGTAGTATGTATCTGACCTCTTGAGACTAAGGTTGACGGCATGACCAGTCAGCCATGGCTATGTGACTGAGCCCCAGTAAAAACTCTAGATACCAAGGCTTGGGTGAGCTTATCTGGTTGGTACTGGCTCGTGTGTATCGTCACACATTGCAGCTGTGAGAAATCAAGTGTGCATAGCTCCACAGGGAGAAGACAACTGGAGGTCCCATGCTTTGGGCTCTCCTGGACCCTTCTTCGTGTCCCTTTTCCCTTAGCTGCTTTTAATCTCTGTCCCTGTTCTGTCTTAAACCATAACTGTGAGTATAGCCACTTTTGGTGAGCTTTCTGAGTCCTTCCAGCGAATTGTCAAACCATAGAGTGATCACGGGGACCCTCTAACTTGAGATTGGTGACAGAGGTAAAGATGGTCTTGTAGACCCCTGAACATTTCAGTGAGGGTATGTGTGAACTTAACAAAGAGAAGCACTGGATGACTCAGGTCTTAACTCCATTCGTCAACTGTGTCCAGCTCCATCGCAGTCCCTGCAGGTGGCCCAGCCCAAGAGCCTGGCTCTTTATTCACTGCGGATGTTCTGCTGACAACACCTGCATGAGAAGATAGAGGAGGCATGCAGCCAGGGCAATGCCAAGCTGAGGAGTGAAAAGAGGAGAAAGTACCTTGTTGTCTCTTGACCAGCGTCTTAGGGGATTTCTCTTTTCCTTTTTGCCAGGGTCTCATTAAGAAGAATCTACTGTCTTCTAGTCAGAGAGCTGCCTACGAGTGTAACCTGGAGAGACAGCAAAGAAAGGCAGTGCCTTTAGTCATTGTGCATGATGAAATCGGTGGGAAGAAATAACACCCTCGATATGTCAGCCACAAATATGGTTTCTGTCTAATTGAATCCATTTGTCACTTCATTAAAAAAGAAGCTGATGCAATTGAAAAGTAAGTTCAATTAATCCGTCTTCTCACAATAACAGTTTGTGTGTATGTGTATTGATGTGAATCTCATCATAAAGAAAATATAAACCCTGGCTTCAGGCACATGAAGGTTCATTTCCTATGGCAGTCTCCTTGCATACTGCTGATAGTTACAGCATGTGGAATTACTTATAACTAAAGCCTCTGACTGAAAATGTGGAGGTAGCACTCGATTTATCATCCTCTGAGATTTAAAAGCTCTTTAGAACACAAGCCAATACCAATTTCTGTTTTAACAAATCAGTAAGTATCTCTTCATGGACTAAATGACTTTCCCATTGGGCACCTCTCAAAACCCTTATGCCATCCCCCACCCCCACCTCCCAGTGGCTAAAGAGGTTGCCATGTATGTGCTGGATATAGGCAGCTTGGAAGAGTGTGTCTTACTTTACAGACTCTAGCATGGTTAGCAAGACTAATTGTTCAAAACTGTGAAAAACAGACACTCTTTCCTTGATAGCTCAGCTTAGATCAGTATTGCATTAGTTATCTATTGCTGTATAGCAAGTTACCCCAAATTTAATGGCTTAAAATGATGCACATTTATTAATACAGTTTCTGTGGTCAAGGATTGGGCATAGTTTAGCTGATTCCTTTGTTTCAGGGTTTCTTACAAGACTGAAATAAACTTGCTAGCTGAGGCTGTGGTCTCATTTGAGAGCTCAGTGGTGAAGGATCTATTTCTAAGCTCCTTCAGGTTATTGGCAGAATTCAGTTCCCAGAGGACTGTTTGACTAAAGGTTACAGATCCTTTCCAGCTCTTAGCTGGAAGATTTCTCTAATTCTTTGTTCTGTGGACCTCTCCAGCATGGCCACTTTTTTCATCAAAGTATGCAAGTGGAGAAAGCAATATGGAAAATCTAGCAAGACCGAGATTTTTAACATAATCATGCAGGTGAATCCCATCACTTATGCTGTATTCTGTTGGCCTTCCCACTCTCAAGGGGAGGGGATTACACAGGGTATGAATACTAGGAGATGGAGAACATTAGGTACTATCTTAGAGTCAGCCCACCACCAGGACAGGATCCTTGGTTGAAGAAGTAATATCCTTTTATAAAGAATATCAGTATAACAGTATATATAATATATATTATATATTATATAGAATTATATAGAATATATATAATATATAATATTATATATTATATAGAATATAACAGTAATATCCTTTTATAAAGAATGTGCTGTATGTTTCTGAGTTTCAAAAATATTTGTGGATAGGCTCAGCAGGCAGATTATATCCTTGAAGAAATGATGATGCTTTGGTGGCAAATATGTCTTTAGTCCAGCTGATTTTCTCATTTTTCTCATGTTATTTTCCATTTTCTCCAAAGAATCTATTTTCTTCCTTCTTTTATTATAACCGAAAAAAATGTCTGGTCAAGTTAGAAGCTGGGAAGAGCTCAGAGTCCTTGAGGTTGGGGTGGATAGCCTAGAACGTAACAGGGAGGGCAGTAATGTGTCTGCTCAGGGAAGATTTCTGACTTTTTAGCTTTTCTCAGGTTTACTATTTCTCTTTTATATTTGTGAGGCCCTGAATCAGACACCACACAGCTCCAGAGTTGTTTCCTAGCAGTTTCTTCATGACAGAGCATTTCTACAGAATTCCATGCTTGACCCTCCAGAGTTTTAAAACCTACTGAGTTAGTTTCTACCAGTGTTCTTTGTTGTTGTTTAGTCACTAAGTCGTTTCTGACTCTTATGAGACCCCCGTGACCTGAAACCCACCAGGTTCCTTTATCCATGGGATGTCCCAGGTAAGAAGACTGGAGTGGCTTGTCATTTCCTTCTCCAGGGGATCTTCCCAACCCAGGGATCGAACCCGTGTATTCTGCATCTGCAGGCAGATTCTTTTTTTTTTTTTTTCATTTATCTTTATTAGTTGGAGGCTAATTACGGCAGGCAGATTCTTTACCACTGAGCCACCAGGGAAGCCCAGTGTTCCTTACTAAAATTTACAGATGAGATTCTGAGTGAGACTAATATAAAGCACCCATGTGTGCCCCCATCCCCCGCCCCCCGCAGTGGACAATAATCTTAGGGATTAGGAAATTGTTTGTTGTTGCTGCTGTTGTTTTCGGTCACCAGAAAGTATGAAATGCTTATCTAATCGTTCATTCACACATTGACCTTTACTCATTCAGGAACAGTCATTGGCAGTTGCGATTGACAATGCCAGCAAAGTCACTGCCTTTATTAATCATCGCTCTTCTTTCCCTTCCTGACTTTCTTCTTAGCATCCACAAATGTATTTGCCTGCTGCTTTAGCCTCTTGTAGAGGTAGAAAGTATGTGCTCAGTTGCTCAGCTGTGTCTGACTCTTTGTGACCCCACGGACTGTTAGTCCACCAGGCTTCTCTGTCTGTGGGATTTCTCAGGCGAGAATACTGGAGTGGGTTGCCATTTCCTTCTCTTCACATCCACAAATGTGTTTGCATGCTGCTTTAGCCTCTCCTAGAGGTAGAAAGTGTTTTATCTCTAATGCTTGTTTGGGTCCCAGAAGACTCAGAGCTACTATTTCCTAGGTCTGAACCCAAAGAGTCAAGGACAGTTCTTAGACCCAAATCAGCAGCTCCTTTTTTCATGTTCTTCTGCAGACCCAGGTGTGATCCAGAGCCTACTTTGCCTTGAGTCAGACCTGAGAGGATGCAAGCTTCCTTTTACCTGCTTGAGGGTGATGGACAGAAAAGGGGAGGAGATGGGGGAATGCCAGGATTCTGAAGTCTAGAGAAGATTACTAGAGTCTTTCAGAAGATGAGATCAGCAAATCTCTGAACCTGTGGTGAGGCTGAAACTGTGGTCATTTTCAAACAACTTAGGTTATGTCAGAATCACCTGTGGAAAAATTTTTAATATGAATTCTATTTGCAGATATTTTAGTCCAAGGAGGGCAAAACACAGCCCAGGAATCTGTATTTGCACTTAGCATTCTTCACATTTTAGATGCTGATGGTCTAAAAAGCACTGTTTAGAAATGGTGAGACTTTAGAGAAATAGGTAGACCACATGTAAACCATAAGAGGAAAAATTCAGGGAATGAATTTACTATTTGTTTTTCCCTTCATTGATTTCAGATATATAATCACACAGTAGCAGATACTTGTTTTCAACCAGAGGCAGAATGGTTGCAGTGCTTATTAGATGAGGGAAAACTGAAAGCTGTAATTAAACCAACTGGCTACTTAATTCGTTCATTCATCTACTCCATCGAAGGAGCATTCATTCATTTCCTTTCTCTTCTGTGATTCAGGAACATAGTCACCTAGGCTTTATGAATGAAAGTCAGCAGCCTTTCACAGCTAGACAAATAAAGCCAGCCTGGGACAACTAGACAATGTCTCCTCTATATTTATGCCTCTAAATCACACTGTGAGTAGCCACCGCTTTTCTCTCTTGGGAAAAACAAACTGAAGTTTGGAATTACAAAGACTGGAGTGGGAAGTCTATGATCTACCAAGGAAAAAAGAGCAAGATATGTGAATATGACGTCCATCTAATGTACATATATATGTGATATTTTTATGATGCAAAATTTTAATGATTTTTATTGAATACTGTCATATAATATTTTTATGAGAAAAAAAGGTGAAGATAGACTCTACCCTGTTAGTATTGGGTATGTTTCCCCCTTTGGGGAATTGGAGATGAGATTAGTATGGGAAATTATTAACTTAATTTTTTATACCTTTGTAGTAGAATACTACAACAAGTTGTTATAGAATACTACGAGTAGAATACTATAACAGTGGACCATACCATTTTTTTGGTATAAAACCTAAAGAATATTGTAGTATGTAATAAATGCAAGGAAATTCCAGCTCTCAGGTCTCAAGTCTTGGGTATTTTAAAATTAAAGGAAGAACCTAGATATGGAGGTAGATGGACTGCAATTGGTCTCCCATCAAATGTCTTTGTCAGTGTCTTTTAGATTAGATTTGCTAATGATTTGAGTTGACAGACCATCTGCTTTCTTCTTTTCTCAATGTATGTATGCTACAGGGGGTTTCACTATGATCAAGAGGTCAAATGGGGATCACCATATGGACAAAGCACCCCCCAGATTAGTAGGAAGACGGCAGGATTTCTAACAAGACGTCAAATGTGTCCTGCNCTTTCTTCTTTTCTCAATGTATGTATGCTACAGGGGGTTTCACTATGATCAAGAGGTCAAATGGGGATCACCATATGGACAAAGCACCCCCCAGATTAGTAGGAAGACGGCAGGATTTCTAACAAGACGTCAAATGTGTCCTGCTTTTGGAATTAAGATTTTTGTTTGTCACTTAAAGTAACTGACTGCTTATCCCTTAAGAGTAGCCAGCAAAGTCCTGGGGCTTGCCCAGGTTTTGAGGCAGAGGTAGGGGAGCCATTCATTCATTCACTAAATAAAATTTTAAAGGTGAGTAGAGGGTAAAAAAAAAAACAAAGCGTTGCATATTGATTCCATCTGCTAGTAGCTCTTGGTCAACAGCTGGTTATTTTAGCTATTATAATTGAAAATCAGTAGAATTCAATTTGTAATTTAAGAAATCACTAAAAATGCAAAAGGACAGATATAATGTGATTACATTTCTATGGGGTACCTAGAGGAGTCAAATTCATAGAGACAGAAAATAGGATGCTGGCTGCCAAGTACTGGGGGAGGAGATGGGGCAGTTCATGTTTAATGAGTACAGAGTTTCAGTTGGGGAGGATAAAAAAGTTCTGGAGATGGATGGTTGCACAACAGTGTGAGTGTACCTAATGGTCACAAAACTGTACGCTTGAGAATGGTTAATGTGGTAAATTTTATGTATGTTTTACC